ACCCCCCTCCAAGCACTTGCTGGAAAGGTCATTGGGCTATTTCTTCTCCTGTTGCATCAGCAGGGAGACAGTGCAGCCTCTCCTGCCTGAGAAACACTTGCAAGCATGCCAGCAATCTGCACCACCGGCCGCTTCTAATAATCCAATCAGCAAAAGTAATTAACAGACACTGCAAACGTAGCTGATGTAAGGTAGCAGGGATGAAGCTAACCTGGCCTGCCACCTGCACTATCAGCTGGGATGATGCCATAAGGGGCACAGGGGTAGGGAGTGTTTCCCTCCAGGCATCTAAGGATGGGAGACAGAGATCCTGGCCCCTGGCCCTTGTCCACACCTTTCCAAGGCCACCATTGTACAGCTCCATGCCATGGACACCTCCTGGCTCCCCTGCCAGGTGTCTGACCCACGCTAGTGACAGGAAGGGAGAGGCTGGAGCAGAGGGAATGTGGCAGTGCCTGTTCTACCAGCTTGGGGGAAGCCCCAGCTGTAAGCTGCGTGGGAGAGAAATAAAAGAGAAAGAGACATGTCTTGGGTGAGAGGGGAATGATGTAAAGGTCCAACTGGTTTCTCCTGGCCCAGGCAGAAACCCTGCAGCAAAGCTGGTGACTCCACAGAGCCCAAGAAGAGCCAAAGCATGGACTAGCACGGACAGTTTTCACACTAACTACAGACATCTTTCTCCCTTTTAATCCACTGCAGAGTGAATGTGTTTTGCAGTCCTGTGGCAAAGAAACATGCAGGTTACATACAACTACTGCCTCCCAGGAACCTCCAATAAAGGTGCAAGTACAGCAAGATGTAAACCACGCTTCACCACCTGCCTGGATGCTAATGCATCAGGCAAGGGAGGGATCGAAGCAGCCAGGTGGTCACATGCAAACAGGAACCAAGGTCATCACTAACTGCTGGGGGGGAAAAAAAAAAAGGGCTTGGTCCTGGGGAATTTTGAGCTGACTCAACTAGTGTCATTTTGAATGGGATTTGAATATCTTTGTGTGTGAGGATATTGCCAGGCTCCAGGAGGATGTCAGGAGTGGCAGATGCAGACACCAGCAGGAACCTGGGTTGTAACATTATGTGACTCATAAACACACCTGGATAAATTTATGCTTGGAAACATTACCTAATTTTTTCATGTTTCCCTCATGAGAGGAAAGCTCTCACTACAGCCTTGCTAAGGAAGAGGCTGTTAACCCTTCACTAGAAAGTTCATAAGGAGACTAGGTGGTGAGAGAGAGGGAGGCTGTGTGAGTGTCCTAACCAAGAGGGGAGCTTCAGCAATATCCCTCACCCCAGAAAACACCTCTGAACACAGCCCAGATCCCAAGCAAATCTGTCTTCTCCAGTTCTTCTACTCCAGTGATGACTTTTCTCCAACCTGAGCCCGTTGAACAGCCCTTTCGAGAGGATCAGATACCAGAGACCTTTATATCACAGCTCCTTGTTAGCTGAGCTCCCCAAAGGGGACTGCTTGAGCTCCAGAGCATGGGCAGCGCCTTAGTCACCCACTATGTGGGTGCTGCACAGGGAGAGCATGACCCTTACCTCCCTTCCAGCCTCCTATCAGGGAGATTCCTGCAGGCTTATCTGCTGACCACATCACAGACTTGCACAAGATTAACTTGATATTGCTTGTAGTGCTAACAGAGAGGCACCTGGTTTCAGAACCAAATTTGCAGTTACGCTATTAAAGGCTGAATGTTTCCTTATGACTTTGCACCGTTTTGCAAGCACAGGTAAGAAATGCAACTGAATATTAAATTTCAGAATAAATGCCTGATATCGTAGCCCGAAGAAATCCCCCACTGCATTACATCACCCCAAGGTTGGCCAACTGCATTTGGTCTGAGCAAGTTGCAGAGGCATCACTGCCTTTGCAAGGTGAATACTCTCTTTGATGGACCAGTGTTATGGATACATACTGTAACTCCCATGCTTGGATACCTCTTCTAAGAGCTTCAAACACAGAAGCCCTAGGAAGAGGGGAATTTACTGAGCATGCACACTGTTCCCAGAGGTATGTGTGCGTGTGTGTCTCCTACTGCACAGCCACTGGAGCAGGGTGGGGGTTGGTGGTTTTGTAGCTCAGTGACCGTCCTGGAAGGATCAAAGGAAGAGCGAGCCAAGTTGCCTGGCCATCTGCATGTCAGTGTTGACTCTTGCATGGAATGACCAGAGGTGAGATGTGGCCATGTAACTTGCTTCAGCTACATAAAGGTTAACTCACAGGTTAAGCTGGAGGTGCCTGCCTTTCCCTCCTGAGTACTCCAAAATTTCAGATGGATGATGCTAAGAGTAGCAAATTCTTCTCCTGGCAAGGGGCAGCTTACTTTGCAGACAAGCATTATATGCCTAGAAACACTCAGGCAGCCCTTGGGCAACCATTTTCTCACCCTAGTGACCAGCTGCGCTTGCTGAAGGCAAGTCAGGCAGGACACACAGAAAAGGCAGCTAAGTCCCAACACTCCTCTTCAGCAGCCCTGTTGGGGGTCAGGCTCCTGAGTGAACCTTTGGAACTGAAAGAGTATAAGTGTTTCACCATAAAAGGCAAATGTGTTCCCTCTCTTACTTGGACATACAGGACTGAGGTCAGGGAGCATTTGTGCAAGGCCAGACAATAAGAGGGGCTTTGCAGGATGGCACAAGGCCTCTGCGATGCTTCCTCAGTGCCATGGCAAGGGGCAGGAAGGTCAAACTGCTGTTACAGACAAAAGCCCTCTGTCTCTTGCAGTATGTAATGCATAAGACACAGTCGCTTGCCTGAAGGCCTTCAAAGACATGCCCACATTTAACATCTCAAATCTGAACATCTCAAATCTGGGTGAGGAGAGAGAAGGCCATCGTGGAGGTAAAAAGCAGCCCTGCTTTCAGAAAAGCAGAAGCCTGGAGTCAGTTCTGTTTACTTCAGAAGATGTTTTATAGTCCCCACACAATCCTACCTCTGGGCTTTCCCTCGGCCTAAACCCCTAACGTTAAACCCAGGCTGCGCCAGAGGCAAGAGCCTCTCTCTGTCTACAGACTAAATAATCCTCAGAGGATGAGATGAGCGCCAGCACTTCGTTTACATTGCATGATGCTTTCCAGCTCCACATGACTAAGCTTCTCTTTCCTTCAGCCCCGATCCTTGCCCTAGGCTCAGCCTCATCCACAGCACTGCAGTCCTTCTTTTCCAAAACCAAGCCTTCCCAAGAGCCCTCCATTTGATTTGACAGTCTCCTCCCAGCCCCAGCACAAATGCAGCTTTGGGCTTTCTCTTCTACCTAACCGAACTCTTCCTTCCCCACAATAAAAATTGGCAGATGACAACTTTTCTCACCCTGGGTCTCCCTGGACAGCCATTTTCCAGCCACTCTCCATGTGCAGCTCTTAGTTGCAGGGCAGGGAATTTGCCATGAAAAGAAAGGCTAGAAGAAAGGGGTTCACGAGGGCTAGAGAAGAATTTCCTTGTAAATATTCAAGACTTGGTTTGACAGGGCCCTGGACAACTTACTCTAAGATCATGCTTTTGACAGAAAGTTGGACCCAAAGTGTCCCAGGGGACTCTTCCAGTCCCAGCTTGCCTGTGATCCTGTGAGGTCCCTCCCTAACAAGAGCCCACCATCTTAAAAGGGTCTAGGTGATGCTACAGAACAACTTCCAAACTTTAGCTGGAAAAATTTACAAAAACCAAAGAAGACAATGTTAAGAAAATATATAAATAATCCCAAGTGAGTTTCAAAACCAAGAAACAGAAACCTGCCATGAACGTCATAACCCTGCTGGAAAAGGATTAAGGATGCCAGAGACTCATTGTAACCCCTCCAAACACACATGTAGCAGACACTACCTCCTTGAGGCAGACCAAATCTTATGGCCTCTGGACCCAGAGAGACACTGGAAAGGTAAATGCACAACCAAATGAAAGGGACAGAGACTACAAAGTTTACATACGACAATTTTAACCATTACGATTTTTCAGCCCCACTCCAAACACTGTTTGGGCATTTCTCTTTCTCCCAACTCTAACAAAAGCTTGCCTTCCCAGGCCACTGGGCAGTGGGTTGGCAAGACAAAATTGCGAGTTTCACATGGACTTGTGATGAAATTTGGAATTGCAGCATCAGGTGAAGAACACAGCAAAATTCTATTGTTTACTTTCCTTTTGCAACAGCCAGCTAGCACATCTCCCTGTGATACAGCCATTTTTGTGCATCTCACTGCTCATCAGCCCAATATACACCACCCTCAGCTCACCTCTCTACTGGGTTGGCATAAGAATGGTAATCACAGCTGAAGGGCACTCTGTGTCCACGTATTTTACATGCCTGAATCAACCTGTGTCACTTCCAACAGCTTAAAAAACTGCAAGAGGGTGAGCGCTCTCAACTTTTGCCTGAGCCAGTGACAGCTTAAAGTGCATAGCACTTCACAAAGTCTATGGCACAGCCTGTCCACCACCATCATGCAACCCCACAAGCCATTGTGCACCCTTAGATACTCTACAACTTCCCAGGTATCAGAACTTGCCATCAAGTAGTAATGTTGAAAGCCTTGGGCAATGCTTATTTGACTTCTGATTCATTCCACTAATAAGGAGCTATTGCTTGAAACTGCAAAAAGAGATTTTTCTGGGCAAGGAAACTGCAAGCAAGCCACATGGAAATCTATGAAGAATGAGGGAAGTACAAATGAAACTTTGCTGGGTGGGGGATGAACTTTCACAAGATCCCTTCCATGAGGTGACTTGCTCAAAGCCCAATCACGGAGTAACAGCTGAAGAGGAGCCCCAACTCCCAACCTCTTACATCTGAGGCCAAACTCAAGTAGGTCACCTTTAAATTCTAGTTCCTCTTTCCACCTCAAGCTGCTTCAAGCACAGTACTTCCCATCTTCTTGGATGGGTGCTCCAGAAATTGTAAAGGTGGCTTACACTAATTGTTCACTCTGAGATGCCACATTTACCTATCAAACCCATGCCATCTAGGGCTGTGGAAAGATTAAAAATGAGAGACAAACTAGGATTATTAAAAATTTAACTATATACCATATTTATTATCAATCCACAGGATAATCTGATTGCTACATGAGCTCATAAAAGCTATTTCACCTTTACAAAATTAAAAAAAAATGTGCCACAAGAATGTAATAACTGCTGATAACCAAGGACTGAATCTTAAAATTATAAATTTGCTGTAGAAAAGATTAAAAAAAATTATATTCACTTTAGAATTTTACTTTGAATAAAATATTCCCCTGTATAAAAAATAAAAAAGCTTGCTCTGGTTAGAATTAGAGTATTTTTCTTCTTTTTTTTAAATCTGGGAATTTGCATAATATCTCTGTAATAGGTTTCTTTTTTTTTTCTATTGTACCACACGGCATTCAAGCATAGCAGATTAGAAACAAACATGAGAAAAGCATTCTCAGAACATATGAAATCCACATGGAAAGTTTTAACTTCCTTTCCTCTATTCTTTAAAGACACTTTAGCAAGAATAGCTTGGAAAAGAATACAGGTGGGGAGGGACCTTCAATGTGCCATTAAGTAGAGCAAGGTAATAAAAGGCCTTTTGTAAGTGCTTTCTTAATAAGGTGCAGAAGCAGACTGCAACGTTGCTAGTACTGCACTATGTACAATATTCACAATAGATTTTTCTTTATTTAAAAATATTCCAGCTAGTTCACATTTTCTCTTCCATTCTGAGGCTTTCAGTTCCATCACAGCCTTGACAGCAAGAAGCGCAGCAGCACCACTTCCCTTGTGGTTGGTTGGTCCTCTTATGAAACACTGGAACCTGTGAGTGGGCCAAAGTTCTTGGGTTGTTTTTCTATGTAGCAACCTTGGAAATCTGTCTGGGTTCAGGTGTACATACTGATGGCTGGAGTCCTGAGTTAAAAACACTCTGGCACTGGAGTCGGACACAGCAATGTTTTATATTGCCAAGGCTTTACCTTAGGTTTGTCTTGTGTGCGTCAAGGGATGAACCTCTCTTAGAGAAACGTAAAATACAAAACCAAACAAAACAAAGCTAAAAAACCACACTGTCAAAGGCTTAGCAGCTCTTGACTCTCGACTGGGCAATATCTGACGTTTTCTTGATGACGCTGGCCCGTGTTTCACGGTCTGGCTGGTTGCTGCTTGTGGAGGCTGTGGACACTACTTGTGGCAGAGGGATGTCTGGGAAAGGGGGCCAGGAGCTGTTGTAAGGCAGTGGGCAGCTTTCATCTTTGATGGTGACTTGGAGGTCAGGCTTGTTGGCTACAAAAGTTGCCATGCTGGGAAGCATATGAGAAGTGTTCCTCATTCCTAGATTGCTGAGATACTGTTTGCCTTCAATGTTTTTCTTCTGCCAATGAAGTCGTCCCTAGAAAAGAAGAGAACACAACTTTGTGAAGTACACCAGGTAACAAGATGAAGACAGAAACATTCACAAATTGCACAGGAATTACCCCATCTCTAAGAGCCTGAGCCTGTAGCCACTGGATTAGAATGTTTCTGCACTCAGCCACTTCTCCCCTTCTGAAGTCATGTCCTTAAACCTTGCTGGTTTTCCAGCATTCAAGAGGCTCTACCTGTTCTTCTGAATGCAAAATAAAGGCCTTATTCCCAGTGTGCCAGAGACAAAAATGGACACAGATGACCAAACATTCAGAACTCCAAAGGGAAGTGTCTCCTCTGTTACCAGAGAGAGCATCCTCCTGCCAAGAGGACAAACAACACTACCCAAACTATCAATACAGGTGAGGCTGCTAGGAAAATCACCGTCACTTGATGGTGCATCCCTCATCACAGGGAAGAGGTTCGTCAGGGAAAGATAAGCATCCAGTCCTTTTCCCACCACAGACAGAACATGCAATGGCAGGTTTAGGGAGCCACTACTGGCAATCTACATATGGGTTCCACTCCAACCAAGGCACAAAAGACAAAACCTAGTGGGTTAGCCATGTCGTTACACAGCTGTGCAACCTGTGGTTCTCCACCAAGGAGGATTCAGAGGGCTTTCGGAAGGGCACAGCAGGAGACAGATTTGCAAAAGGCCTTCTGCAAGAATGCAGCTGGAGCACAAGGTATCTAAGGGCTCCCAGTGAGCTTCCCTTGGCCTCCAAGTACTCATGGAGATCATCAGGTCTGGTTGCTTGACAACAGCCCCAAAATAAGAGGTAAGTGGTGGGTTTGTATATGTGCAGCTCAGGAAATGCTCGTGGGGTGGTTATTTTCCCCATGGATTCCTTTCACCCAGCAATACCCAGCTGACTGCTCAGGAAAGCTTTCTGCCATGCATACCTCAAACGTTCAAGTTGCATTTGTAAGCACTTCCTCCAATTGTATGAGTTCAGGTGCCATTTAAGGAGAACAAAGTGAGCATGCTTTCAACCAAGATAAAATACTCACTACCTAGCAACGTCAATGCATCATATTAACAAACTAGCCGGAACTGTTTATGGCTCTGCAGAACATGTTATTATGCAAATTAATCTCCTTGTAGTTTGGACAGATGAGGAGGAATGAACTTGTAGCGAATTTAATTCTGTGACAATCATCCAAATGTCTGTCTCCCTTGAACCTTCCTGGTTGCTTTTCTCCCCCAAATATTGTTAAAATGAATATTCCACTGGTAGACAGTTGCAAACGGAGAAAGGGAAGAATACTCAATGACACTGATCTTGAGACCTTACTCCAAAGTGCTAAAGATGTAGAAATAGCTTACCTCTGCATTTTCTTCGTCGCTTGGAACACTGTCAGTTGTTTCACTTTCTGTCAAACAAAACAGAAACAAAAACAAAACTCATGCTATTCCATCTGCAGTAACAAATTCCAGCTCAAGAGGCCTGATCTACTTCCAGTTAGTGGCACCAAACAGAGTCAAGCCAAACAATCAAAAAACAACAGAGAAGTATGAAGCCTCTGCTGCAGCAATAGCAACCCAAGGGCTAGCTGCACTGAACAACTGGGGGTTATCATAGTTAACATGACTATATCCTGTAAAAGGCACCAAGAGAAAGAGAAGAAGCAGATTTGTGCTTTTTGCGCAGAGCCTCCAGCAAGCCCCCTCTCCCTTGACCTCTCTTGGCAGCTCCGGACAAGGGCACGAGTAAAGTTCTGTCCAAATCCTTATTTTTACATCCCTGCAAAATCAGTAACAACTCCACCCCAGAGGAGATAAGTGTATTTTTGTTTCATGAACTGTTATCTCAGCCTGCCATCTCAAAGGCTCGTTGTGACTTTTGGGGCTGGATTACTGTTGGCATACTCTGGTATACTTGGTATAGTTTTGCTTTTGCCACTAGTGCCCAGCCTCCCCCAGCCTATTTCTCAACCCTTCACCCACTACTTGAGCAAGTAGCAATATTACAGTCTCCAACTCCATCACGTCCCCACACTGCACATGGCCTCCCTCACCCTTATCACTTCAACCAGAGCACAAATACAGGGGAACAGCTGCAGTGGGACAGCCATCCGCCTGCAGCTGCATCCCTCCCCTGCAGAAGAGCCTGAAACACAGGAATTTTTACTATATTTTCAAGCCTACATGTGTCTGAATACAGGTGTCCTACTGTGTGAGGGTCAGGCTCCTGGTCCATGGGCTGGCTGAGACTGCCATGCCTCAGACACATCTTAGACAGGGCACAAACCCCTCTTTTCAGCACTGGTCTGCAGCGATGGCTGTTGCCTTCAGCACAGCCACCTGCTGCCCAGATCCTCACGCAGAAAAGCAGAGGCTGGATTGCAGGTTCCCTTCAGCTCACAGGGTTTTGAACCCCTGTGTCCTGTTTTCTGGGAGGATAATCTTAGGCATCTATCGGGCTCCCAATGGCATTTGGAAGAGGTCTTTCCCCAACCCCTCCAGCAGGGCTCATCCACAAGGAACACAGAAATCACACGACTGAAGGAATGATGTGATTGAGTTACCATAGCAGGCAAGAGAGCTCTCAAGCCCCAGCTTCCATCCTCAGCTCTGTGTTATGCATTTTAGCCTATGCAGACTGCTTTGCACAGCCCCTGTGATCCTGCCTTCCCAGGGAGCATCCTCATGCTCTGCACGGGACATAACATGAGTGCTAAGAGTGCACAGATCATGCCTTGTGGATTGTGCCCCTGCACATCTTCGGAGAGACTGACAGTACCTTGCCCTTCTCTCAAGGCTTGGCTAAGCATTAGGTTTAGGCAAAGGGCTGTAAACCAGCAGGCTGAATCACTCTTTCAGATCCCAGGATCTAAACTGCACTTAAAGTCCTTCTGAAGCAAGAAAGCAGGCAGCCCAGGTACTCCAGACTCCTACTTCTGAAGCCAGCACCTCTCCTATGCCAGTCTCCATTACAGTGTGCAGTAAGCAGAGGAACAGTTCAAACTAACTGCGATGCCCTCTGAAGTCAATGTTCTGCAGAGCTTCTGATTCACCAGCCCAGGCAGAGAAAGATGTGCTAACATGATTAAGCTGGGTAATTAAGCCCTACTGGGGAAAGGAGAGACAAAAATTAATCTGTGCAAAGGTGAAATGGCCCTGAAGATAGAATCAATAGGAGGAATCCACAGAGAGACAAGAAACAGATATTCCCTGACATGAAGAAACATGTCGCAACAAAAACAGAGTGAAGCAGCTGAAAAGGAATCCATCCTTGGTGTTTATGCATAACAAAATGCTGAGCAAGAGATAGCACTATAGTTACCAAAGCCAGGGAAGCTGACCACTCAGGTATGGGAAGTTAGAGGGTTATTTCAATCAAGAATGTTATTTGAATCAGTGTCAAACATAACAGGAGTTTGACAACAGCCTCAGTACTAAAAAACAATGGATTTCATAGACATTGGTGTAAATACGAGAAGACTCACATGGGCCGCTCACATCATTTGCCTGAGAAACCTCAGAAAGCAGCCAGAGGTGTTTTTGAAATAAAACAGATTTATGCAGGAGAGCTGATACCTCAGGCTACTTTTTTTGATTGTTGTTTCAAAAGAGCTAATCTAATTGTTCCTGAACAGCTGTTATGGTCATACTCTTTCCTGCCATTCAGCAGTAGCACCTGACAGAGCAAACCCACAAGCAGAGGGCCAGGGTTCCTGTGGTTCTCCTGTACAGGTTCTCCTTGCTCCTGTGTGGAGCAAGACAAAGACAGAAATAGTCACAAGAGTGTCCTAGAAGTTTAAGGGTTCTAATCCACAGACCCCTGTCCTCACGAGCAAATGCATGCTTTAAAAAAAAAAAGCAGTTCATAGAACGATCTGGGCTGGTAGGGACCTCAGGAGGTCTATAGCCCAACCTCTTGCTCAAAGTAAGGCCAGCTATAGGACTAGATCAGGTTGTTTGGGGCCTTATCTGTTTGGGTCTTGAAAACCTCTGAAGATGGAGGGAGCACAATCTTTCTGAGTATCCTGCTCCACTCCTGACTATCCTTGGGATGAAAAAGGTAACGTTTTTTCTTATCTCCAGCTGGACCAAGTTTTCCTGTTTCAGTCTGTGCCTGCTGTTTCTTATCCTCCCACTATACATTGCTGTGAAGAGCTGGGTTCCACCTTGCCGGTAACATCCCTGCAGGTAAGGGCAGCTGCTATGAGGTCCTGAAAACCATCTCTTCTCCAGGCTGAACAAGCTCCAGTCCCTCAATATCTCCTCACAGAATGAGTGCTTCAGCCCTTAATCACCCTGATTAGCCCTCCTCTGCACTCGCTCCTGTTTGTTTGTAACTTCCCTGGACTGAGGAGCTCAAGACTGGATGCAGTTCTCCAGAAGTAGTGTAATTAGCGCTTAGCAGAGGAGGCTAATCACTTCCCTAGATCTACTGGCCATGCTCCTGAAAACTGATGGCCTTCTCTGTGGCTGAGATGCTTTGCTGTCTCACGTTCCTCTCATTGCCTTCCCCCCCTTTCTACAGAGCTGCTTCCCATTCCACCAGCCCCAGCCTCTATCATTACGAAGTGCTCTTCCCATGCACAGGACTGAATTTGATAAGGTTTTGCTGAATTTCATAAGATTTTTGCTGACCCATTCCTGAAATCTCTCCAGGACTCAAGATGATGCTTCTACCCTCAAGCATATCAACTGGTGTCCCCTATTTGGTGTCATCTGTAAAGTTCCAGTGTGTACTCCAAGTTATCTTCTGCTCATTGATATATCAAATGAGACTTCTCCCAGGACAGACCCTTGCAGTACTCCACTTCTTACTGGCCTCTAGTTAGAGTAACCAGGATTGAGGGTGCCTTGAGATGCATTCAAAAGCATGACAGTGGCATGAAATTCTCTGTTATCTCAGTTTTGGGCTTAGCAGGTCCTGGTATAAGTTAGGACAGCTGAAGGGCACCAAGATACTAAGACAATGTAAGCAGAAGCACTTCAGTCATCCTTCATTTTCCTTATGCAGGCTGGCTGCAATGACTTTAGGGTAACTAGGTCATGATTTGCTCATGTCAGGGTGGTCACCAGACCACCCCTCTTTATCGTTCCAGTCCAAGAAGCCACCATGACTTCTAGACCAAGAGAGTGACTTTTGTTTGCATTCCAAGAACTTAGATCCTGTAGCTGAGGTTAAAAGAAAGCATTATTGTCATGTTCATATATATGGAAAAGTTTTCCAGGAAACGTTTGGAAAGAAGAGAAATGTTTTGAAAGCCCTTGTCTCCCTGCTGCTAATAAATTAAAGCACCCTCATAACCCCCTGCCTTAGGCTTTACAAAGACCTTCTAAATTATTTGGTCATTGCAGACTAAACACATTGAGAAGCATAAGCGTTTATCAACATGTGAGACTAATATTGGAGACTTTTCAAAAGAACATCATACAATTCACTGAGGCCCCGAAATAAAAATTACTAAATATATGCTTTCTAAAACTATTTCTGGAAGTAATTTCAGCCTAGTGAGACAAAGACAAAACCATGTGTAAAATAATAAAATGCATGGAGAATAATTAGTACTTAAGTTTGCTTTAAAAGATGACATTTGTGTTTCTACCCAGTCTTCTGAAGCTCACAAGTTAGCATCATGTTAAAAAAGAAAGGACAGGTTAGATCTTAAACTTTTCCTACTTTCAAATATGGCTTTGTCCTGCTTCCTACATAAATAAGGCTTATATGATTGTGGGGACTCTATACAGCACGTCCATATATGCATTTGTGTCCGTTCTCCCCTAATAACTTCTGAACACGCTGTCAGACTTAGATAAGGGATAAACGAATGCCAAAGACTCTTAACTTCCTACCAGTTATATGAAAATAAGGTGCCAGATGAAAAGAGAAACCATTAGCACCCTGATTGGGGGTGGGGGCAAGCTTGTTATCTCACCCCTTTCTGAGGTATCAGAGAATCCAGATGAGAGGCAGACGTTGGAAACCAGACGTCCACAGCTCTGCTGCTTGCAAGATCACTTGTTATCAGTGAACATGGCTGTTCCAGTCTGCAGCAAGACTGAACCACTCCCCCAGGGCCCTCAGCTCCACATCTGCATATATACCATTAATGCGGTGCCCTTAGCGCTCTGCACACTGTGCTAGACACAGAGTAAACACACAGCATAGAAGACCTGTAATCTTTAGTAAGTCAGGGGGCAAGGGGAACTTGCTATATTTACAGCACATCATTTGTACCACTGAAAATCCCACTCTAATAAAAGTTGAAGAGACCTCTCTGCAGTATATCTAAAAAGATTTTTTTTCCATTAGTCACAGGCTAAAATCTGCAGCTTACATTTCCAGTCTCAGATCTGCCAAGTTGTTTCCCAAGGTAAAATGAGTAGAGGACTGTGAGCTTTTGAGTTTCATTAACAATTCAGAAGGAAGATGAATAGGCATCTCTAGGTCTTTGTCAGCTACCCTGGAAGAGCCCCCTTTCCCCCAGTGTCTTCCAAACATTTCCAAAAGAGCAGTGTAAAGAAATGCCAGGATGCTTACCTGCATAGGATGAGACAGGGGAGATCTGT